AAAAAAAAAAAAAAAAAAAAAAAAAAAAAAAAAAAAAAAAAAAAAGAAAAAAAAGCTAAACCAAGACAACTGAACATTAAGGGGATATGAATATGTGGAAGAAAATAAAAGGAGAATTTTCATTCTGTATAAATTGACAGATATATGACAGTATAAACTAACTGATTTAAGATAAAACCTCTGGAAAAATATACCAGCAACAGATTCCAGATGTCTCTCCCCATGAGTTGTCTTACCAGATGGTGGATGAGATCTTTGTTTCTTAATTTGTCTTTATCTTCAGTGGTAACACAGCATTCAGACAAGGGAAAAAAGGGTATTTGTGAAGAGCTTGCTTGTTGGGACAATATGCTTATTCTGTTCTATGATCAGATAAGCTCTTATTTATTATAAATAGAATGTATTTGAATTACTGTTATATGTTGATCTCATTGTGTCACTTCAGGTTTTGAAATACTAGTAAGAATTTCCTATGCATTATGCAGCATTATTTGAATTATTCACATGTGGCAAGTGGAGTTCTGCACTTTAAAATGTTGCCTTTGCCTGATGTTTATATTTATTCTGTATTTTTTGTGCAATCCTATGGCTTTGTAGGGGAAAAAATGTGTATTTGTTCACTGTACTGAAAGTTTTAGTAAGTGGACTTACTGTTGGAAAAAGGAACTTTAAAATGACCCTGTTAAAAGTCTGTGCCTGATTATTCACTCATGAATGGAAAAATTATAATGATTTTATGAACTTGAACAGAGACTTTTTAATTAAAAATATTTACAGATAAATATAATTTTTTATATTTTAATTGTGATCATGCAATGCAAATTAGCAAAAAGTAATAAAAATTCTTGCTAAATATCTATGGCATTACTGAGCAAAAGTGAACATAACTATTCTGGATTATTAATTTAAAAAGAAAACATAAGTCTTGAAAAACAAAACCCCAAATTCTTTCAAAGAATATTCCAGTTCTAAAAGAAAAAAGTTCAGACAAGCTGTTAAAAATATTATTTTAAGCATTTCCAGGAACAATCCATAACAGATGATAAGGTGAGTGGCTTTTAAAATTCTGGATTTGTATGAATAAATGGTGTTGGCTTATCTGAAGCCCTGAGTGTAGAAGGGGTCAATTCATTTGGAAAATTATAGTGTAGAAAGTATTAAAAAAAAAAAAAAAAAGCCAGTGGATTTTGAAAATTAGAGAAAGGACGGGGTAAAATTAATTGCAGAAGAGATTTGAAAAGAGTGGTAGCAGAATACAAAATATGGCAAAGCAGAAATGAGATAGATTAGAGGAACTCATAAAAAGAAGATGTCAGAGAAGTTTTAGGTCAGAAACACTCATTAAAGAAGACATCTTCTCAGGCAATGTTCCGTTAAGTCATAGACCTCATTCCTTCAGAGAGTCATTGAGGTCCAAAAACTGGGCAGATTTCCAAAGGAGTTACTTACATGCTTAATAATACAAGCCCAAATAGTTGTACCTGCTCATAGTGTAATTATATAACACTTTAAAACCTCTCGACCTCTGCTTTAAGATTTAAATCAGAATTACCTGTAAGAGCTCCAGAAGAAAAGTAATGCAAGGGCACATTTTGTTTTACCGATAATTGTCCAAAGAAACGTTTGGCACTGGCCAGGACAGAGGCAGAATTAGTCTGGTCTCAGGGAAGAATTTCTGTTCCTGCATACCCCAGACACCCTCCCCTGTCATGTACCTGTGACTGAGTCCAACACAGGCTAAACTTCTGGTATGACTGAAATGACTGAGTATAAGCTGTTTTAAAAATCAGATTGTTTCGAAGTTAAGTATATTGAAGAGACCACAGGACATTTTAAGTTGCACAATCATGTATCTATTACTGAACTTTTAAGTGCTAGGAACTTTGGCTTAAAGCTGTGGGGTTTTTAAGCCTTTGCACTATACGTGCAAGAACTTGTGCTTCTCTCAACAAAAAACAGCAAATTACGTTTGCAAGGTTTTCTGTACAAAAAAGAGTAATGCCATCAACAAAAACAATTCATGGGCAGCCAAAAGGACATTAGTGACACTAAAAACTGTTGATTAAAATCTGTTGTTTAAAGTTAATAGAACTACTAGTTTTTGTCGAAAGTCTGAGAAATATTTTTGGAGGGCAGTCTTCTGGAAACTTAAATGGAAATTATTCTTTCTTAGAAAATGCCCAGAATCAGAGTTGTGCTCCAACCAAGGAGGTTCCCTGGGGCTTTTGCAGAGGCAGTCACTTCTATAGAAGTCAATACAATGGTCATGCTTAGATTCACACTTCTTTACCCTGTCATGACTCAGAAGTATGTATTAGCTTTAATTCTGGCTTTGGTTTGTGGTTTCTTGTACACTTGGTTTTGGTTTGGAAATAGTTACGCTGGAGAAGTGAAGCTGGAAGAAGGATAAGTTTGAAAGGCAGTCATATACTGACTGCCTAATACTTCAGTCAAAATATTTGTCCCTCCAGGTAGGTGTTATTATGTTTGCACAGCTCTTAGACTCAGTAATTTGGCTTAATGACTTGAGTAACTGGTAACAATTAAACTCAGCCAAGACCAAGACATAAACTGTGAGCAATTGACAAAAACATAAAAATGTTTCACCATGATTTACACTTGAATCATCAATGGCTTTCCTTAGCCAAAGGCTCCAAGGCACAGATAGGTAAAAAAACTCCCTGGAGATAAGTCTTTAGAGACGGGGCTAGCATTAGTTACAATGAAGGCTTTAAAGGCATCCTGTCAGGGCTTGGGGCTTTGAAGCTGGGTTGTGTACTCCCTCAAAAACTTTTACTGATAAAGCTTTTAAAAAGCATTTGCACATACTCCTTAGCTAAGGAGGTTTGCATCCCTTGCTTCAAGACAAACGCTTTCCCCAAAGGAGATTTCTCATCTCACTGGAGTAGGTTTTCCTGGTACTGGTCTTTGATTTGTCTGCTTGTGACCTGTCGTGCATAAGCTCTGGTACTTTCACATGTGCAAATGCCTAACTGGAGTTAATATTGTTGAATTTATCCTTCCTGTTGTACTCGTGCAGTTTCAAGGAAGAGCAGTGTATTAAGAAAAATTGTATATGTGATTTCCACTGTTCTGCTTAGTTTTGGTCATGCTAAATGGGAAGTCATGTACTGTTTCAGCAAAATAAAGAGGCCTTGTGTTTACACCCAACCTGATCTCTTTCTGTGTTTGACTTTTGAGGAGAGAGAGAAAGCTGGCAAACTGACTAATGAAGAACGAAGACCAAAATACTCAGCAAAGTACACTCTTGTCTGGGTAACTTGGGCAATCCCCTATCACAGGAGTTTGCAAACTCTGCATGGTATGTAGAGCATAATTTTAGGGGTTCCTTTTCCAGATTCAGAAATCTTACAGGTTTTGATGTATCTTTTTTACCAGATTTGTTGGCTTCATAAGTCAAAGACAGTGTTTCAGTAACCTCGTAGTTTTTTTTTTTTTTTTTAAAATCTTTTTTTTTTGTGTGTATGTGTGTGTATGTTGAAGTGCTGTCCTGAAATGCTTGCTTCTTGTGCTTGGCAGCAAGCATACACAAGAGTCACATCTCCTTTGATGTATGTTTCTTCACTTTCTTACTTTTCAAAGCTTAAGCATAAAAATGTCTCCAGTCTGAGCAGCTCTGAAACTCTCCAGAAGCGAATTTCCTTAAAAGCTGTAGTGGAGGACCCCTAATTACACGCTGAGGAATTGTATACTGAAATTTTGAGAATTATGTGCAAGCTGTTACCAACTTGCTCAAAATTGTGTAAACAAGAAATAAAGTCTGTATTTTCATCTATCAGCTTATCAACACAAATCATGCAAACAACAGAGAAAGGCAAGTGAAAGAACACTTTTTTATATATGAATGTTTTTAATATGAGTGCCCATTTAGGCTTTCAGCATAGGAATTGTGTCACTTACTTTATTTTGAAAAATAGTAGTAATAAATGCTTTTGCAATATTTCACTGGAGTACTACACTGAGACTTATCTATGTAAAGCAGTATAAAACCCAGATGAGAGCACAGTTCTTGCAGTGTAGATGGTTTGTGAATCAGTTTGAAAATCTGAGAGCCTTTTGGTATGTGCTCAGTAAATCTCAGGCTACAATTACCTGCTTTACTACAATGAGTTGATGGACACACAGTTTGCGTAAGCGAACACAGAGTTTGGTTTGCAATCTTAAAAAAAAAAAAAAGCCATTGGATAATTCTGTACCCTTTACCAGTGTAATTTTCATCAGTCTTCTCCCACGGCTATTAAGAAGAATAAAAGGATTATTCCCAGTTTAAGATCAGATAGTGGATCACTTACAACTGACCTGAATTGGGTTTATAGTTCATGACTTGAGAGCATAGTTAAAATGCAAAAGGAAGGTTGCTTGTCCTATGCTTGTATTCTGTAATTAGATGTCTTCCTTTCAAAGCAACAAGTTTGTGACTGCATTCTTGCATTAATTCTGATTAAATATGTCCTTTAGGAATTACTTCTAAATGTATAGCCATAAATGCCACAAAATCAATTCCAGCTAGCTGTGTACCACACTACTGCTCATTGTATTCTCTCAGAGCTCTAAAAATTATTTCCTGGGCTTTTATTTTTTAGGAGGAATCCCAGTTGTTGTATTTTTATGGCTTGTGAAATAGCAAACAGATGTGCTAAACAAGATCAGTGCACTGTCTTGCGCCACACAGCAGCCACTGCTGAGTAATCCTCCCTACCCAGATGAGGGGCTGTATCTGTTGGGGGCATTTCCACCATTGTAATAAAAAAATCATATTCTCCAAGGAATAACTGAGGGAAAAGAGAAGAGCGTGAACTCTGTGCAGAAGATGCTGTTACAGAAAGAGGGATTCACAGATTTTTAAGCCTAAACCTATAAAGAAGTGAACAGTTGCAATCCTCTGCTCTTACCTTTCCAAGTCAGAAAGGGGGGGCTGAAGCATCCTATGAAGCCATGTCTCATGTCCTCAGCCCCACCTTTGGGCCTGAATGTCTCAGTGAAACATACACAGTGGGAGTTTGAGTGACCAGGACTAGAATTGTTTCAGGTACTGAAAGTAAAGAGCAGCAGGCACGCTAAACACTCACTGTCTTGACTTATTATGGATCTTGTTCCCTTAAGTGAAGAACTCTGTGCTAATAGTTTGAGAGGTTGCTTGGACACCCTGTTGCTCAGCCAGCCTACACAAGCAGCCCAACCTCTCACTGGAGGCCTGTTGGAGAGCAGGGAACTACCATCACTGGAGCATCTTCACTGCAATGACATCTCAAACTGTCAAGAATAAAATTAAGTTCAAATTGCTGCACTTGCACTTCTTCTGATACAAAAGTCATCTCAAAGCAGTGCATGTTCACTAACAGCTCTCAGCTGCACCTCTGCCTGGTTTGGGAGCTGCTGCTGCCAGTTTTGGCTGTAGGTGCTGGTGTGGAACTGAGACAAGGTGAGGCAGCATGAAGTGGGATATGCCATGAGCAACCTTCATAAATTCTTGCACTGAAGTTTTAACTCTTTAAAATGAGCAGTGGTTGCCAGTATTACCCGTGGCAGGACATCTACAGTCATCTTAAACCCTTGGTACACCACAGCCCTCCTGATACTGTCACAGTATCATGTTGCATCCCAGTGTGTGATCCTCTCACACCTTCAATGTACATTGCATCACCTAGGGGAGCAACTGCTTGCATGCAATATGCAGTCATTGCCCTACATGCCTACTGCCATTTCACACTTTTACCTCCAGTGATGTATAAATCTTCCGTTAAAAAGGTCTGACTCATAGAGATAGTTTAGTAATAGCTGAAATCCAGGGTAGGCAAAGGGATTAAAGTCTTGGGTGCTGCACTGTCTGACAGTTGTGGTACTTCTTTGAACAGTCTTCCAGCCTTGTTGCAGTCTTGAAATGGGCACTAGAGAAGAAGGCACAACCTGCCCAAAGAACCACTTGGTTCCTTGGTGTTTAGGTCATGAAAACTGCATTTATAAAACCACAACAACAATAACAAAAAGCCCCCAACAACGTAAACCGTTCAGGATCTGTGGAGTTGCCAGCTGGTTATTGTTTGAGGAGCAGATGCTGCGCAAGCTGCAATCCTGAGGGCTACAGCCTGTGAAAGCATGAAACGAAGGTTGATCATGGCATGTCCCAATTCACATTGCCTCGCCTTGTCTCAGTCCTTTCAGTGTGTGAGTCAACAGCACCATCATATGTGTGTGGCATAGGATCTGTACCAGACCTCGTGGTAGACCCCATACAGTATGTGAAGCTGTAGACTTGTGTGTGCTTGTGCTTGGAGCTAATCCTCTTCATTATTTTTTAGGTCTTTCTTGCAAAATGTGATTTAATTAAAAGTGCTTGGAACTGGCTTGATAACATTTTTCCACAGGGAGGTTTGCTGCTGGATGAGAAGAAAGTAGATGGACTTTTAAGGAGATGAAAAAAGATATATGCAGTTGTCACAAATGAGTTGTTTAGGTCACTTAAAAAATTACTATCAAAGTATTAAAGCAGGCTTACTTTAGATTTTCAAAAGCACGACAAGTTCAATGACAAGGTTCAATTTATTACTTACTACATGGATGAAGCATATGAAAGCAAATTACATTAGAATTGATTTAGAATGATTTACAAGGAGATTGGAGACATAAAAAGGTAAGGATGCAAAAGGAGATCCTCCTGCTAAGTCACAAGTTTCAGGATGGACCCCCTCCCTTTCTAAACTCCTGAGTGCAGCTGAATCCAGGCTCAGCCTCAGACTTGTTTATGGTTTCTATCTAAAGGTTTAACAGCCCTTAATCATTGATTAATTTACCACTAACAAAGTGATTGAATAGAATTCACTATAAGCACAGGAGTCAATTATAGTTCTGAGTGAGAATTAGTAGGCCCCTGTGCACTGGCACCTTACGCGCTCTCAGGAGGGCATGACAGGGCTGTCCCTGTCCTGGTAACCATAATGTGCCCACTTTGAGGAACAGGAGGCTTTCTCCCTCAGAAAAGGGGAGCCTGGAGAAGAAAACCAAGAAAAATGCCAGTTTTCCTTGGGGGAGGAAAGGTCAGGCAGTTCTTTTAGTCCTTTTATTCAGTACACCTGTGATTTCCAAGACAGTCTACTTTTATATTAATGTTTCTGCATTTTTGTTTTGTTTTAACCCCAACCAGAAGAATGGATCACCACAGAATTTTTTTTTTATATTTTCTTTTAGGAGCATTTTTAATCCCTGCTTAAGTAAAGAGGATCTGTTGTTAATGCTGTCAGGGATGGCTTTTGTTTCTATCCAGATGTTAAACTGTAAAGGGAGATACAAGTACTCAGGCACCACTGACTGTGCAGAAAGAGAGAGACACACTATTGGTACAGTAAAAATCAAACACAGAAGAATGAATGACGCTACCTCATTATCACATCACCTCATTAAACT